AGGGAGGGAGGGAGGGAGGGAGGGAGGGAGGGAGAAAGGAAAGGAGGGAGAGAAGGAGGGAGGGAGAAAGGAAGGGAGGGAGAGAAGGAGGAAGGGAGGGAGAGAAGGAGGGAGGGAGGAAGGGAGAGAAGGAGGGAGGGAAGGAGGAGCAAATGGAAAGAAAGAAACAAGAAATGTGGTCATTCTATAGAAGGGGCCTTGCCCCACCATAGAACTTTGCGTGACTGTTGAAGACCATTTGACTGTGTTGGCTGGTGGCGGAGAAGTGAGGATGGGGAGAACGGCAGTCATATCACAGAGACACTTGTGTACACTGCATATATGGGTCAAGGAAGTCACATACCCTGACCTGTTCATTTACAAAGAGTTCTCTTACAGTTTAGTGTAAGCTAGTTGAGTGAAATAAAACTAAAGATGTGAGAGATTTTAAAACAGAACTGAGTAACTTGCCGGAGCTAAGACATCAGTGGTAGGACACGGATGAGAGGATGAGTCATTATCATGGCTTGAATATACAATGTTCTCCACAGCACAAAATCAAGGCACCATTTCAGAGGTGGGGCTCAGCTTGCAGAAGTGGGGCACTAGAAGTAGTTCTTTGAAGGTTATTTCTAACATTTAGCCCATCCCACTACATGTTTCTGCACCTCTGACTGAGCCACTTCCCCATGACTTCTCTATTGTGATGGACTCAAGGATCCAAAACTATTTCTTCCTCTGTTATGGTATTTTTTCATATCACATCTATGAAAAAATAACTAACAGTGTGCAAAAGAGTCATGTAGGAGGTAAACTACATGGGTATATTCAACACTATTCAGAATCTGGATTTCTAGCTGAGATCACTGTGTGGATGGTGGGTTACCCTAGATGGAAACGTAAGAATGTCTTTGTACCATTTGCTCACTCTTGGATATAATGAGATTCAATGCTACAAACTGCTTTATAAGTAGGGGAAAGAAACATTTATCTGAGTGTAAAAACAGTCCTGAAGAACGCATTGGCAAGAATTGCAGCTGCATTTGTCTAAAGTCCTTATTTCAAAAGTAAATAATTTTGAGAAGTATCTCAAAACTTAAATGTTCAGATGCTCAGATGGAATTGAATATGAAAAAACAAAACAAGAAAACAAGAAAAAGATTCACAAGCCCAGAGGATCTGATTCAGTATCGTGTTGTTTCTTTGTACAGAGATTTATAGAGAAACTTGTTAAAAATATTGACTGTGGTCTTGACTGAAGGAGTCTATTTATATCTGGTTAAAGAGAACAGCAACTAAAATTCCCTCCAGAGCCTCGGTGGTATGGACAGAACCGGCAAACACATAAATCAGGACTTCCCTCATGCTCCCGATTGAATGAGATAATGCACGAGCCGGAAAAGCAGGGAAGGATTTATTACAGTTTTAAATCTCTTCTCAACCTGGCTGGTGTGTGAGTCTTGAGTCTTAAAACAAAAAGAAAATTACGAACAGGCCGTCTCTCTCTCTCTCTCTCTCTCTCTCTCTCTCTCTCTCTCTCTCTCTCTCAAGTCCACTACATTAAACAAATCCTGATACCCAGCCACCTACTGTGAGAACTATTGTTTAGTAGCAGTTGATAAGTATGTAAGTATGAAGTGGAAGTATTTTAAAAGCAGGCATTCTCATTGAAGACATCCAAAGGGTTCTTTGGGGAGCTCACCATAAAGAACTGTGAGAGTTCTATCTGACATGTTTCCTAGTTCCTTTATCCAGTGCTTGAGTTTCTTCTTCAGATTGTTGAAAAAAGCCCCAAGGGTTCCATAAAATAAATATATTATACTATGGTGCAAGAAGATTTATGCTATAGTTATTATTTGAAATAGGATCCACTCAGGAGTTTATTAGAGTTACAAAATGAGCAATCATATTGTATTTTCATTAGTGGCCCATTAATAGTTAAT